CTCAAGAAAATAAAAGTCATTCAAGCGTAGCCCACCCCTAAAAGTGTTGGAGGTTTCCATGGGTTGATAAACTTTTATAATAGATTTGTTCCTAATTTCTCTATACTTGTTTCACCACTCAATGAGTCGGTGAAAAAGGATGTCCCATTTCTTTAGGATGAAAAATAGAAGAATTGGTTCTTTCATAATTCATAAGAAAATTATTTTATTTTATAGATATATTTTAAATTATAATTATATAATATTATAATTACATGTATAAAAGTATTTTTTTTATCATTTTGGTTTAAATTAATCTTTTATATGACTTCATTAGTTTGTTTTACCTTTAAATTATTTTTTATAATAGTTATAAAATAATATAATTATAAGTGAATAAATGTATAAGTTATTCAATATAATTTTATGATAATAATTAGCGTATAGGTATATAATATTATGCGACTTCATTAGCTTGTTTTACCATTTTGGTTTAAATTGTTTTTTTATTAGTAGTTATACAATAATATAATTATAGGTATATAAATGTATAAGCTATATAATACTTTTTTATCAATAGTTATATAATGTATTATAATTACATAACTTTTTTTTTACCATTTTGGTTTAAACTTATATTCTTTTATTTTCATATATTAGTTATTAATTTTTTCTTTATGATGATGAGTACTCCTAATCAAGTTAAAGAACAAGATGATGTCACTACATTTCTTTGGAATCATGTTACAAAGATTAAAGCTTTTGACAGTGAAAATTTTGAAGTTAAATGTCATATTTGTAAAGTAAATTGTAATGGGTTGTATACAAGGTTGGTCTTGAATTTCTTTTTTTTTTGTGTTCTGAGTGAAACGAAAAAATGATATCTTTATAATAATTTGAATACTATTTATGTCTCAAACCTAAAAGTATAAAACACAAATAATTAAATAAAAAATTGTTAAGAAAATGACTAAACATATAATGCATTTGTACAATACTACTGAGTTATCCTTAAAGATCATTATACATTAAAAAAATATTAATAATGTTCACATCACAAAAAAGTTCATAGTTGAGAGGTGATTTCAGTGAAATAAGATAACTCACGATTTAAAAAATAGAGAATTATATAAATTAGAGAAGAAAACAAAAAGAAAGTTAAAGACAACCCTTATGATTTTATTTGTAATGTAGTGAGGAGATTTTTGAGTTTAGTTGACTCTAGAGAGAGAAGAGTATATAAGGATTTCTCTGAGAAGGGAACTTCATAAGTTCATTCTCAAAGAAATTAGAGAAAAGTTTTAGAGAGAAGGACTCTAGGTCCGTGAGCTCCTTTCTCTCTCAAATTTCTCTGGTTGATTCTTCTTCCTCTCTAGATTACTAACTTCTTCTGTCTTCTCTTACCATTCAGGCTAGCAAGCTTGATTTTGAAGGAAGCTAGAATGTATGTTGTTCGGTTGCATGTGACTTTAGAAACTCAATTGATGCATGAAATTGGAGAATCCATAGCTGGATTGGAGGAAATTCTCATTTTTCGAGGTTTGGGAAAAATGGGGTTTTTTTGGTGATTTTGATGCATCGGGTGGGTGCATGTTGAATATGAGGTTGTTTTTGAGTTGTATGGAGTCTATGCATTGTGTTTCTTGGTTTGCATGTGGTTGGATTTTCTGTTTTTCAAGTTTTGGACAAAATTTTTTAAGTTTTGGGGCTGCTGTATGAATTTGCGCCAGGCGCATATTATTGGAGCCGGGCTTGTATTCATCAGAAGCTGTTTCTGGATGAATTCACGCTGGGCGCGAGCTGGCTACGCCGGGCATTAGTGTGCTTTCAGAATTTGACTTTATGGTCTTCATGAAAGTTGTAGCCTTGGACCTTAACTTTCCAATGGTGTTGGAATCACCTATATATAAAGGAGATCTACAACTCCAAATATGGTTGTTTTAGTGAACAGGGGTCAAGTTGCTAGCATTAGTTATAGTTGTTGCGCTTTTTAGAATTTTTAATAAGATAGATGATGGAATTAGGAATTGGTGTCTTCATGAGAGTTGTAGGAAATCTTCTTATCTTTCATATGAGATAAGAATGAGCATGATAGAAGTAGTATAAATTCATATATGCTATTTTATGTGAAGGTTATCATTTCACAATAAGTGATTTGGTTAAGTTGAAAGTTGTTTTGGGTGCTTAGGTTGATTGGTGTTGTTTGGGTGTGTAAGTTGGCATGATAGATATGTTGTAAACATGTAGTATGAGTTGTTTATGTGATGAAAATGTTGTGTGTTGATAATAGTGATTAATGATGTTGTTGGTGATGCTTTTGTGATGAAGAGGGGATGTAAATGAGATGCATGTTGTAGTTGAGTTGTGAAGTTGTGTAATTGTGTATAGGTGCTAAATGAGTTGCTGTGCTAAATAAAAATGTTTTGAATATGTGATATGTTGTTAAAGTTGTTATATGTTATGTGTGGACTATTTATATGTTGTGAAATATGATGAGATGATTTAGTTGAAAGTTGTGAAATGCATTATGATAATATTGTGAGTTGTGAGAAGCATGATGTGAAGTGTGTAGATGTGTTGAGATTTATATAGAAGTTATTAGTAGACTAAGTTGCTATGTTGTTAGAGGAGAGTTGTATGTTGCTATAAAGTTATATGTTGTGCCATGTGTTGAAAAAATATTACTTTATGATGATTGAGTTGTAAATTTTGAGTTGAGCTATTAAGCTGTTGAGTTGACTGTGTTGTTTAAAGTTGAAATGAGTTGATGATTGAGTTGATGAGATGATAACGATGTTGTTAAAGTTGTGAGTTGATTGTGTTGTTCAAGTTGAAAGTTGATTGAGATGATGAGTTGAAACCTGTGATGATAAGTTGTTAATCACTAGGACTAGAGGAGATGTTTTTGAAGTTGTTCATCCCATTGTGCGAATTGAGATAGTTGTGGTGCTTTAAGAGCCCAATTTGTTGAAAACCCTCCGTGGGAAGTTGCCCATTGGAGTGGACGATGTGTTGTTCTCCTCTAGGACTTAGTTAGTCCCGTGTGTGGGCAAGGTCGAGACACACATGAACAAAGCGACCACGGAATAGGGGTCAGGTTGAGCTATACCGATTACAAGCAGCCAATTCGAGTAAAGTACGAAGTTGGAAACCTAGTTTCTAATAAAGTATCGGAGGGTTGTAATATTTGGAGGATAATCAGTAGGCTAATCCCATAGGTGGCTTAGTTAAGCTAGCTAATGTCATGGTAGGCCTAAACTCAGTTGTCCTATCCTGACAAAGTACTATACTTCCTTGTTTAAGTGGCAAAGTTTGCGAAATTGTTATCGTGTTGTGAATTGATATCCAAATTTGTTGTTTACCTAGCAAGCTCAAAAAGGTTATGTGTTGTCAGTTCGGTAGGACCTAGCCACTTAGACTGCTCACCCATATTGTAGGAGATCTCCAAGTTGTAATGCATGACGACGAATAAGTTGTTGATGAGTTGAATTGATGTTGATATGAGTTGTATGTGTTGATGTGTTGTGAAGGTGTTGTTGAGTTGTGTGTTGTTAAAGTGTTGTGCGTTGTATGTTGAACAAGTTGATGATGATGCTAGCATCGCTAGATTACCTGTGTTGTAAGTTGCTTTAAACATGTGTTGTTGAGAGGTGTGTAATACATGTGTTGGTTGTGGTTATGATGAATATGGTAACTATTCCAATAGTTTGTACAATAGTTGTGTTGAAGTGTTGATATGTTGAATCAAGTTGAAATGATGTTAAGATGTATAGTATATGTGTTGTTGTCTTTTGTGTTGGATGTGAAGATGATTATATAGTGGGTGTGTTGCATATTTAATTATTATGAGTCATTTATTGTCTCTAGTTTACCCTTGGATGTTTTCATGTGGTTTGGACTGCGATGATCATACGATGTATGGGAGCAGGGCAGGGATAGGCTGAGAGATAGCTGCTAGAGGCCACAAGAGGTACTTGGAGTTGATTTTTTTTTTAGGCTACCTTATAGTAGCATATTTTGTTGTATATAACTGATTATTGTTGGTTGCTTGATTAGCAACTTGTGTTGTAAATATTTTAATATACCATTTTAGTATATATATTCCAGTAATGTGTAGTGTTGTTCCGTAGTGTGACGGACATGGCGGATCATTACATTATTTTTACATTGAAACTTATGAAAATTCACTTTGAGACAAGAAGAAAAAAAATAAGTGTATAATATATCACATTTTATTATTTATATTTAATATTATTGATTTATTTTCCTAAAGTTATAGGTAAATTTTTGTTAACTAGTAAAAAAATAATTATTGATAAATTGATCACAATTAATTTATTTTCTCTAATACATTTTTATATAATTTAATTATGTAAAATTTTTGTTTTTATATTATTTATATGAAATAACATTTTTTTTTACTGCCATGGACAATTGCTTCACCGATCCGTGCTCCAGCTCATCACTAGTCTTACACTAGAGTAAGGGTAAATTTATTAAAAAAATTAAAGGAAAAGATGATAGTAGTTTTCACAAGATAATTTCTCTAAAACTTATAGAGTTGAAAAAGATTGATAATAACGTTAGATTAAGAGTGAAGAAGTTAAAGAAAAAATTTGTTTATTTATTCCCGATGTCTAATGAAAACCAAGAGATAAACATTGACATTGATTTAAAGAAGAGAAAGATTTTAGAAGGCACATTCAATATGCAAACCAGAGAGACTCTTAATTATGTAATTGCTAGGATGTAAAATCCAAATGATAAATATGACTTAACCAAACTATAAATGTTTTAAAAGTTTTTCTACTGAGAAATACTGTTTATTTTAATAGAAAAACTTTCAAAAAAAATTTCTAAACTTGTATTCAAACAACATCATATGTCAAACTGATAATAAGAGGCAACAAATAAACATCATGCATGAACGGGATCCAACCATCACAAACCCTTTAACATGCAAAAGCCAAAACTTGAAACCAATTTATTGTTCTGTTTATATAGAATTTTTGCCCTTCAATATAAATGCTATTTGGCTACAGTAGAATTTTATCCCTTTTTAAAAAAATAATCATCAAGTAAAAAATGTTTAAAAAGAACCAGCATCTAGCTATGTACAGCTTCAGAAAATGCAAAATTAATTCTTTGCCCCATATTTTTCTGCAATAATGGGACGAACATCATCAACATCCACCAGTTTCTCCAGAAAGGGCATCAAAGAAATCAGAGCAGAGTCTGTAGGGTCGTCAAACCAGCTTTTAATAGGAATTCCATTATTCACTTGAAGCCTGAACATCTGCATATATCATCAAACACACGTCTAAGTTTCACTATCATAAACCATTCAAACAAACACTAAACAAATAATTTTGGAAACAAAACTATTAACAAAACACTCTCTAACATGCTATTTGAGACACTCTTTGTACTATTAGCCGAAATTTACTAAAAACAATAAAATTTTGAATGTTTTACTTCTTATTTGATTATTCTTATTTAATTAGTCCACTAATGATTTTTTAATTTTCAAATAAATTTGTCAGAGGATATGTTAGAGAGTAAAAAATGATCCCAACACAAATCTATTAAGCTGAAGAAAGTATTTTCCAAAAGAGGCAGATAATCTATCGAGAGTTATACATAAAAATTAATAATATAAAAGTGGCTCTTTTTTAAGAAAATTCATCAGTGAAATGCTCACAATACATTCTACTGAACACAGGTGAATTTTATGTGGATCTCATTGAATAGAAATGGGACCACAAACTATTTAGTAAAATTAACAAAAGAATTCACCCAAATAACAAGATTGCATGGAAAATATGGAAACTTAGTATTACTACTACCTACAATGTAGAACTTGATAGCAACACTAAATATTATTTGATGAAAGAAATAATGAAGAGAATAGAAAGGAAATAACACATACATCAGGGGTGTTGTCGATTATGGCTACTTTTGCGAGGTCCACTCCAAGTATTCTCAAATCCTTGGCACAGCGATTATCTATCCATGAGCATGAATCTCTGTATAATCGTCGAGAAAATAACTTGTTATGAGGATCAAGAATATCAAGCAATTTTTCAGCATAAACTCTCCTGCTAGCTGTGAAAATGATGATCTCAAACATCTCAGATATTTTCTCCAAAAATTCTCTGAGGAAGGGCCTCGTCCGTACATATACATTACTCGGCTTATCCTTATACATTTGAAATATGAAGTCAGCATCATCGCATTGCTTCTTGCTAGAATGGACCAACGTTTCTGTAGACAGGGATGTATATACTTTAGGAATAAATAAGGATCAAAGTCAAATCATTAAAACTGGAACAAAATAGCAAGCATTTCTCTTGTATATGAGTATGCAAAGGTGAAAGAAAATTACCATCCAGATCAAGAACAAGGGTAACATTCTTCGTTGTGACTGTTTCCTGACTTACTAATGCTGGCAATGCTGTATCAGAAGTTTCTGATAACTCGCAATTTATAGGAAGGGATGTCTCCAGATCAAAGAAACAAACTGTGTTTGTATCAAGCTGAGTGCAGTCCATGTAAGCATTTTCTGGACATGGACTGGCCTGATGGAAAATGAGATCAAAACATAAAGAATCACAAATCTGTTCAAGTTGAAACCCTTCATCATCATGGTAATTTGCTGCACCTGTTGTTTCCTCCACAATGATTGAAGTTGTCTCCTTAGTGCCAAGAAGTATAACATCAGAAAATTTAATATAGCAGTGACTCTCGGTGTCCTCAATTAAACACCCACTCTGATTTGCATCATGTGCATTGGAGTCTAACACATTAGGCATTTGGAATGTGGCCAAGTAATTGTCATTAATTTCAAGTGGCCAAGTGAATTCTTCCCAATTAACTGCAATGTTATCAGACCAAGGGAATTAATTAATATTAACAGTACAAAGAAAAGAAAAAAAAAACAATATTTTAAGTGGTATGGTTTCAAGTAGTTACCTGCTTCAGATAGGTAATAATGGACAGAATTAGGCCGGTCATTATAATAAGGTAACATTGTTTCTGAACATGAGGAAACAGATGGCAAATAATCCTGTCATAAATAAACCATCATGTCAATTAGTAAGCCATGTCAACCAAAGAAAGTATTCGTATTTTCAAATTTTTTATATACAAAGGATATAAATAGCCAAATTCTATTGCAAAGAACCAAGATTCGATGAACAGAAAACTCTTTAAGGCTCACAATGAACAAAAGTTGTTATAATCATCAATTGGTACAAAGGAAACATAAATTAGATATCCACACACGCATATCATTGATGAAGTGGATAAATAAAAAATACTTCATTCTAGCTATCCCAACTCAACTTCAATTCCCAATATAATATACAAGACAAAAGTGAAGTGCTTGCTAATACATTAATAGTTGTAAATCAAGGACATGATTTGATGTTTTGAACGAATGTATTAATCAGGTGCGATATAAAAACATAGATAAACACATGCATTACACCAAATCTTAGGTCACTAAAGATAGTATAATCCAGAAAACTAGATGTATATGTAAATAATAAATAAATAAAAGAACTGATCAAAACTTGCATCCAACGGCACAGATGAAGTCAATCTCAAATTTTTGGGGCCACTACACCAATTCCTGTCTCTATTAACTATATAATTTTCCCTAAATCATGCTAATGCATACAAAATAGCAAGGATAAAGTTGTCACTCAGATAAATCAGAATTTGCACTCATCTAGTGTGCATGTAAAATCTACATATAGACATGGAAATCAATATAACAGTCGACATGATATAGGCAAATACATGAATCACATGATATGAAACTGAGTCTTACCGTTGCTACTTCTAAATCCATACTTCCATTGAATGAGAGACAGGGCATTCCCATGTCTCCTGTATTGTCCTGATATTTGTAATACTCTTCATTTTTGCAAAAATCTACACAAAACATGTCCAATTAAATAATGAGAGGCTTGTTTCCACCGTATATTCTGAATGAATGTCAGATTCCAAGGAAAAAAACTGCATCAATGTTATAATAGCATGCATTTAATACTTTTTAATCCTTTCAATCTGTTGTGTTGAGGTATTAAGGCTTACCATTTTGAGATATTTGGCATGAGATGGATAAATTTTCCTTTTCTTTAGCTTCTGATCTGACCATGGAGCATGGTGGTTTGCATATTTTAATTGATCTCTGAGACATATGTGGATGATTCCCATCTTTTTTGCAGGTTGTATTTGTCTTGGAATTCATTTTGCACTGAATCTGGACTTGCTTAGCTTAATCTGAAGTCAATTCAAGCAAATGAAAGTTCTCAGTCCCTTTCAACAGAAAAATCAAAAACAAAATGCAGGTTATACAGAATATTATACATAAAACAAAATTCAAAACGCATCATAGACAAATACACTAATCTGCATCAACATTCATGCTGTTAGGCAACAGGTATATTAGTAAATTAAAAACACTGACCAAAATAACTCAATATTTCAAAAACTCATTTCATTGACAGAAGACACATTTCAATCGAACAAGGAGATTTTCATCTCTGATTTGTTTATTAAAAAAATATTTGAAACCTGAAAATCTAAATTTGACACAAACAAGCTCTAAAAATAATATAAATTATATTATAATTAAAATTCGTAGTATATAAATATCTTTTATCATATATAGTATATTTTATATTTATGATTTATAATATTTATTGTGATATAAGATCATTTTTAACTATTAGTAACTTTTTATTCTAGTCTATCACATTTATCTTCTACTAAAAACAATCTTATTCAAACCGGATAATATCATTATGAATGTTCTTCGAGTATTTAACACAACTATATTGATAGTTTTAGAAAGAGTGTTGAAATTTAATTTG